AGCGTTCTTGTACGAAAAATCGATATATATAATTATGTGTAATATTACGAAACATTAATAAGTATAAATTAACTTGCTTTCTTTTTAATACGGTGCTTTTTATTGAACTCTGTGCAGTCATCTTACTAATATAATTGTTAATTCCTGTATATATAATTGTTAAATTCCTATGTACACACACACACACACGCGCGCGCGCGCGCGCACACACACACACACACTATATACATATATATTCTCTACAGAATTTACTGTCAAATCCTCAAAACTTCAAAAGAAAAGGCTCGTTCCCATTAAAGTCAATAGGATCGGAAGTGCGGATTGGTACAGATCGGCATAGTTTCTTTTTTTTTTTAATAAAAGTTGAAAGAAAAGCCAGTAACCGTCATAGATATTTATATAAATATTTATGGTATCGGTCCTATGCTCAATTGCTTTCAGTGGAGATAAGCCTTTATAAAAACTTGATATATATGAGAAACCCCATTTTCATTTTCTTTCCTATCACTCGTGAATTTGAGCATTAATATTCGACACATTCTAATAGTTTTTTGCGATAACAATTAATTTTCTGTAATGTGCAATCATCGATAATATCTTACCGTTGTCATATGGATCTCATCTTGATTTGTTGTTTTGCTCATGTTACTGATGTCGGATGTCAGCACCGCGATAATGTGAAGTTTGCGAGTGATCTATTTACGAACTATTTTGCAAGAATACACCACTTATTTCTCCTGTTACCTAGGCTTTCTCTTTCTTTTCTTACTCTTTCTCTCTAACACTCTTTTTTTTCTTTAAAGCACGTTTCGCGCGACTCGAGCGGTTTACGAGAAAGTAACCCGCGAAATCATAGGTGCGCAGAAGAACCGGAGAAGGGTCTCTCCTTGGTCGTGCTCTTGAAAAATACACGACGTGTTCAGGCGGTGAAAGGCATGCGTTTTTTTTATTTCTTTTCATAAAATCTTTTGAAGTCGATGTTAAACTATTTAAATTATTAATGATAAACGAGTTTAGGAAGAATTTAATTTGTTTGTAAAATGAAGATGTTTTTTGAAAAAGCAGTGGAACAAATTTATACGTGAGTATGCGATTTGTGTATCCCAACAGATTTCTTTATCTTTCTATCGACAATAGCAACTGGAGACACGAGGACATGCGCAGATATATATACCGTATATATATATATATATATATACCGTCAGGTACGGACGGAAGTGTTGAAGAAGAAGAGGGGGAGAAAATTAAATATTTTTATAATATATAAGAATAAATGTAATAGTATGTACAAAATCCATTTTATTGCTTGTACAACTTTAAATAAATGATAATGATAAATGATAATAAAATTTATTAGCAATATTAAATATTTAATCTTCATAGATTTATAAGGTTCTGTTTTTCAACATTTATAAGTTTGCCGAAATTATATCACTTAAAGGCTCATAACTCAGAAATTATGAAAAATATTCTTAAGTTTTTAACAACATAATAAATACAATTTTTTCCATACTAATATTCCTCATTTAAAACAGTATAATAATGCAAAAAATAAAAAAATTACATAAGCAAACGAAAAAATTGTATTTTATTATGCTGTTAAAAACTTAAGAATATTTTTCATAATTTCTGAAACACATGATAATTTGAAGAAGTAATTTAAGAAGTTTATGTGTAAAACAAAATACTTTGTAATTTTACAATATAAAATTTTATATAATAATAAATGGAATAAAAATATAAGAAATGGAAAAATATTAGGTAACGTGCGATTTAAAAAGTTAGATAATGAAACTAGAGCAGTTTTAAAATAATAATAATAATAATTTTAATACTTATTTAACTTTAATAATACAGGAGTGCGTTCCAAAACTTGACTCTGTCAATTCCGAATATCTTTTATCTTTATTCAACATTCGATGACCAACAAGGATAAAATACTCGAGTCGATTGACAGATTTGAATTTTGGAACGCAACTCTGAATTTACGCACCAAAACAAGTTTAGTTAGAGCATAATAATAAAGATTAGATAGGTTAGGGATCTCATTTCATTTACTGATTATCAGTGGCATACTTAACATTAATATCAGTGATTATTGATATGATACTGATTCAAACTTAGAGAGTATATAAAAAAAAGCAAACTTTAATCTTATTTAAATTTAATAAATTTAATAAATTCTAATCATGATAAACGATAAAGACTTAGAGCTTGCACACAATAGAAGAAATAAGGAATTAGAAATAAAGAATAAATAATACGATTTTAATTTATTAAAAATCGGAATACACAGTTTCTAATAGGTTGAAATCATTATTCCTTATTCCTATATAATTCCTTATTCTTGCTATTGTGCGCAGCCCCTTAGGCTAATTAATTTATATTTTCTGTCTTATAAGTCTGCTGTGACATACGTTGAAATATAGTAACGGTATCACTATGTTTTTATTTATGTAAATAACACTTCTATTGCGTCATATCACGAATATAACGGAATAGCGTTACAGTATCATGCAGTTCTTAAATAATCCGTAAGAAAGTATATAAATACAATAATTGAATTTTTAAGCGAAGTATGTAGTGCGATTTAGGAGTGGCAATTGGTTGCCAAACCTGGTTTGGCAACTTTACTCTAGGTGATGATTCTTATTTATTATTTTATTTTATAAATAAAATTCTGGTTATGGTCACAATCAGAGACTGTGTATATAATTTTCGATTTCTTTTACGATAACAGTTTCTTTTTTTAATCTTTTTCGGTCTTTTTTGGTTCAGGATTAGAAAGTCCGAAATTCAAGCGTCCGAAATTTCAGCTCTTTTATAACTGTGACTGTCGCACCTTGTGTATACTGGGTGATCCTATCCTATTGCACGCTTGCATTTGGCAATAGACTGGACGAATTTGGCTATTGTCATAAGTTAATAACTCGTTAATCCCATTGCGAAAATTATAAAATGATAGAAGACTTTTCTTCTCAGTTTAGTCCATTCTACTCTTATGCGAAAGATTTATCGTTACTTTTCAAATGCCCTGTATAATAAAATATAATGTCCAACTACTATGAACTTTAGTAATCTTTATACTCGCTCGAGGAAAAGGTTATTTGCTAGACGCAATTATCTTTTGCTGGACGCAAAGAATAAATGCCGGCAAAAAATATCAGTAAAAAAATGTATTTTCTTCATATCTAATTACATAGCGATACATTTTTCTTTCTCTTGCGAATTGATTCATCTCTGCCAAGCACTGATATGTGAGATTGTTTATTATTTGCGTTTATGAATATTGTAATAATTTAACGAAATATAAACGCTTAGGAATCAGTGGTGTCGGTATGAAAGTTGGAGCGCAAATTTATTCTTTTTTACTAATTTTACTAATATTTAATTCTTCTCTTCAATCATTACAAATCGCGCAATCATGAAGAATTTTAAGACTCCTGCATACAAATCTATTCTATCAGTTGCAATGTAACACCCATTAGCGATGTGCGCATGCAAGATATGTGCGGATTCGAAGCTCTCTCCCCGATGACGCATTCTCTTCTGTTTTATAATATAATAGGACAATAAAACGTTAATCCAACAAGACAACAACAAAAAAAAAATTAAAAGCTTCTAGACACTTCGTATTATAAATTCTGTTCTGAAAAAAACAAAAGAGAATGCGTCAATATATCACACTACGTTTTTTTATTATATTGATGATTTTATTTATGTAAATTCATTATGAAATCTACAATGTCGTATAGATATCATAGTCTACATCAGTAGACTACGCATTTATTTATGCAAAATACTTAATTGAATATTTTACATAAAATGCTTATTTTGCATAAATTATACATTTAGATGGCAATCTCAATCTTTTTACTTTACAATCACATCCTTTCTAATCCTTTTTAATAACTCTTTAACGAACAACGATCAATTGCTAAAACTGTCCGATAGTTAATATTCAGTTAAGTATTTTGCATAAATCCGCAGTTTAGACATCATAATGTTCGTGCGATGTCTTTCGGTGCTTTATGACAAATGTTTTATTGAAAAATATTTCTATTTTAAAATATTTTTTGCAAGAATTTTTAAAATGCATTTTTCGCTTCTGATTATAATCTAGATTTAATTAAGATGGTTAATTAAGATGGCTATATAATAATGAGACACAAATTTTAATAAAACGTTTAAGCAAATAATAAGTACGAATCTCAGAAATAAATTAAATATATATTGCTTTAAATATAAATTTTGATATTGCTAAATCAATTAATATTTATTTTCAAAGCGAAAATGTTTATTGATTTTTTATCGTTTTTTTATTTTTACGAATTTGCGGTAAATTTTATTATTTTGATCGAGCTATATAAGAAAATAAATTTTTTTGAGCGAAAGAAATTAACTGTGCATATTATATTGGGTTGTCCGAAAAGTTTACATTGATTTTAAAAGAAAATTGAAACGCAGAAGATTTAAATTTTAGTATACATTTATTAAATTTAAATCTTTTGCGGCATGAACTTTCCAGACAATCCAATATTTCATCTGTATTTTACTGCATATATAGTATGGTATCCTTGAGAGTGCGATTATATAGCGATCCACGAGGAATCTTTCCTCGTGCAAGGAAAGATTCAGACCAACTTCACTGACGCGAAACAGGTTGGTATTCATATTTGATTTTTACATTTAAGACTATCTTAAATATTTAGGCTGGCGTCCCATGACGTGGAAATTTACAGCGGAACGGAACAGTGCAACTACCCAGCAAATGAGAATGGATTGAAATGAACTGAAATGGATTTTCAGATTTTCAGAAATATTGATTGACGAATGTTAAAATAAATGTTTTTCAATCCTAAATGCATTTTTATTTATTTATAGGAATTGCATAAAGCATATCTCTATGCATATCTCTATGCCTTTCAATCTAAAAATAATATTAGCTTTTTCTGTGCACAACACACATTGTGAATATTGTTCAATTCAAAATTTTGAATAGGAAATAGGAGCAGTTTTTCAATCTAATTGCATCCAATTGAATCCATTAATTAAATTAAAAAAAAAATTTTTAAATACGCTTTAAAATACACATTCGGAGAGAAAAAAATTTCAATCCATTTTAATCCATTCTCGTTTGTTGGGCAATTATAACTCTGCAGTCATTAATCTGCTTTTTTTTCTGCGATTGTCATTTAATTGGTCTCATTGTTTCCGTTTCGATATAAATTTCTGTTCTGCTCATGGGATCGGTCTTAAACGGGGAGCATAGATAATGCATAAGAAAATGTACCAATCAAAGTCCTTCGTTTCTTCCTTTTCATGAAATAAAGAACTCTGATTGGTTGGATTTCTTATGTCTTATGTGTTATGCGAGAGTCTGTGCTCTCCGCTTTACGATCAATGACCTAGTTTCCATCGAGGATTTAATTCGGATCAGAATGTAAGAATCAACCAACTACAGTTGAGCATTCCCCTGTTATAGTCAAACGACAGGGAAATGCTCGACTGTAGTTGGTTCTTACATTCTGATCCGGATCAAACCCTCGGTGGAAACTAGGCCATTGTTGCGGAATTTTGTATACAGCAGCTCTAAAGGCCATTTTATACAAACTTACATACCCGCATAATCATATGCATAAAG